AGCGAATATCACAACCAGCCCATGTCAACACCGTAGAATGGAACTACTTTATATGGTATCGCGTTGACTGCATTCCGAGACCCCAGACAGAAAGGCTAAAAGTCTAGTTCATGAGGTCTGTCGTACACTAATCATATTGGTAGTGATAAAGTGCTATAAAAATAAAAGTCCTTTCATTTTTTCTTACAACACAGATGAACTGAGGCATATGTTGCTCAAACAGATAGCTTGTATGTACAGTAGTTGTGCTCCCCTCCCCGCCCCCCACATTCCAGTCTGAAGTCATACGGAGGCCGTTGGGTTTGATACAGGCAGCCTTTATTCGAGAACACAGTTACTCATTAACTTTTTTGTGGAGGGCCAGAATCACCAGCGGCCACTTGGTCTCGAGAGGACTCACTGCGACACACAGCACCGAGGAGGAATAGGACCCTGGTTTTCACTTGCTCCGGAGAGTGAGCTTTCCTGCTAATCCCAATATTTAAATGTGGTGACTTCCCGAGGGAGGCCAGTATCTTGCCCCAGGAACAAGCAAAATAGGCGGCCAATAATTCCGCAAAAGAAAGAGTCTTAATAAAAGCTTAATGGAGTCTTTGGAGATTGATGACACCTCCCTTTGACGAGCATTCTTTTGCTCCCTGTTGCTGTACACAGGAACAGGAGTAGGCGATTGAGTTCTTCGAGGATGTTCCGCCATTCTATAAGATCATGGCTGATCTTCACCTGAACTCCATTTACCTGCCTTTACTCTATCCCTTGATATCCTGAACTTACAAGCATCAACCGACCTCAGTCTTGAAAATTTGAATTGATCCAGTATCCACCACCTTGTGGGAGGAGGGAGAGAGTTCCAGATTTCCACTACCCTTTGCTGTAATGCTGGAGGATGGGCGTTCTGGAAGCATGAGATCCAACAGGCGGAATGCTTCTTCATGCAAATCTCTCTCACGATGGTAGAATTCACTGGGTAACAACAACAAATTACATTTGTACAGCGCCTTTCACTCGGGAGGACGTCCCAAGTCGCTGGACTGTCAGGAATTTGAACCCAAGCAGGGGGTTGGGATCGAGGTGGGGGGGTGTGGGCAGGGAGTGTGGGAGGGTGGGGCAGTTAGAGGGTAGGGCAGGGTAGGAGGGTGGCCAAAGTCGCGGCTGAAGAGAAGGGTCTTGAGATTGCCTTGAAGGAGGCGAGGGAGGTGGCAAGGTGAAGGGACTGTGGGATGAAGTTCCAAAGGCTGGGGGCAGAGAGACTGCAGGCCTGACCGCTGATGGTGGGGGCGGCCTGGGCGGGGGACATGGAAGCAGCCGGACCTACTGAGTGGAGGGCAACTGTGAACCGATGCCCAGAAACAAACGGAGCACTACCCAGAGCTCAGTTCTACTCACACACCAGTGGCTACAGGTGTCCTCTTGATTACGCTACATAAAGCACTGACCCGTAAATATATTATTCTGGACGAGCCATTGTCAATGTGCAAATTTTAGCAGAAGTTTAAAGGGCGGGAATTATTCACTAATAATGTCTTAAAGCCCTCCATGTTACTCAAGTGACAAACTTCAATATCATTCCTAATTTTCTCCTTCTTCTCCTTAAAACACTCCTGTGGGCTTTGTTTGCACAGCAGTAAATTAACTTGTTGGGGACAGTGTAGAGGGAGCTTTACTCTATCTCTAACCTGGGTATGACAAAGTAGAGGAAGAGTTACTGTGTATTCACCTACAAATCACTTCATGCTTTAGCACCTCCCTACATCTCCAACCTGCTCTCACCTTTCCCGTCTTTTTACCCAACCAGCTTGGGCCTTCTGCGTGTCCCTCAACCCTACCCCCCACCACAACATCGGTGGCCGTGCTTTCAGCTTCTATGCCCTGAACCTATGGAACTCCCTGCCTCAATCCCTCCACCTTGTCCCTTCTTTACCCGTCTTCAAATCGCATGTGAAGACTTTCCTCTTCGACCATGTCTACGGTCACCTCCCCTCTCTCGCCAACGATCAAACTACACAGTTGTTCAATGAAGTGCGCTATATAAATGCAAGTCGTCGTTGTACCCTAACTGGGAGTGCTGGATGTGACACGCTAAAGGGAGCTTTGTTCTGTCCGCAACTCATGCTGCAGCTGACCTGGGAGTGTTGGATGGACAGTGTAGAGGGAGTCCTCGGGTTACTGACCCACCCGCCAGTGGAAACAGTTTCTCCCTGTTCACCCTATCGAATCCCCTCATAATTCTGAACACCTCTATTAAATTTCCCATTAACCTTCTCTGCTCCAAGGAGAATAATCCTCGCTTCTCCAGCCTCTCCTGTTAACTGAAGTCCCTCAGTCCTGGTACCATCCTGGTCAATCTCCTTCGCACCCTCTCCAATGCCTTGTCATCCTTCCTGAAGTGTGGGGCCCAGAACTGAACACTGTCTCTAGTTGAGGCCTAACCAGTGTTTTATATAAAAGTTCATCATAACTTCCTGACATTTGTATTCTATGCCCCTATTTGTAAAGCCGAGTATCCCCTCATTCTTCCTCCTAAAATGCATCACTTCTCATTTCTCCACATTAAACTTAATCTGCCACGTGTCTGCCCATGTTACCAGTCTGTCTATGTCCTCCTACAGTCTGTTACTGTCCTCCTCACTGTTTACTACTTTTCCTAGCTTTGTATCATCTACAAAGTTGGAAATTGTACTCCCTATTCCCAAGTCCAGGTCATTTATATAGATTACAAAAAAGAGCAGTGGTCCTAATACCGATTCTATACCGAATATACTGTAAAGTGAATTGACTATATGTTTTGTGGGCGAAATGCGGGAGCCAATAGCACACAGCAGCCTCCCACAAACAGTTATGGATTGAGTGACCAAATTATTATTATTTATTTATTATCCTTTTTTGGAGGGATTATTACTCCCGGAAAAGCGATCCGCCAATCAATTAACAACCGGGCTCCTACTTACAGAGGTAAACAGAGGCGTGTCGAGTAAGGAAACTTGCCCAACGTTTCGCCCTGCGGGGAATCGAACCCAGGCCCTACAGGACTCCACACCTTAATGAGAACAAAACATTTTCCACCTACCCCACAATCCCTCAGGTGGGTATTTCATCAGTGCCCCCCCCCAAATTCACTGAATTTAATAATAATAATCATTACATTTTTATTTTTCAATATTGTCTCTTAGTTTCACAAAACTACGCAACTTTGTCCCTGACTGAAGGTGACAGAGGTACAAGTGGTTCCCTCCGTGTACATAAACAACATTTTGCCCTTGAATAAAACTTATCTTGATGACAGATGTGTGCAAGACTAGGCTGACTAGTGTAGTGCTGCAGTGTTAGAGGTACCTTCCTTCAGGTGAGACATTAGACTAAGGTCCCAGCTACCACCTAAGGTAAACATGCCTCTGTTCCCAGTATTCCCAGTGTTCCCAGTACTCGATTGGCGGATCGCTTTTCTGGGGGTTACAATCCCTTTAAAAAAAATTAAAATAAAAAAAAATGATAATTTGGTCACTCAATCCACGACTGTTTGTGGGGCACTGCTGTGTGCAATTGGCTGCCGGGTTTCAGCCCACAAAATGTACAGTCAGTCCACTTTACAGTATATTCTGTGAAGCGCTTTGACACATCTCGAAGACGTGATAAGGCGCTATATCAAATGCAGGGATTATTATGATTATTATGTTAAAAATATTATGTTATGTTCGTCTTATGTTGAAGATCTTATCTTACTACACAAAAAGAGACGGCAGTTTCTGCTGGTGTGCTGCAAATCCAGCCGCCAGATAAAATTGCTGTGTGCAAATTGGCTGCTGTGGTTGC